TGCATCTAGAAAGTGAGTCAAAAGACCACGGAGGTATCCGAGTCATCGCACCAAGATCTTGTCTCGTTGAGCACAAAGTAATCTCTTGAAGGATAAGATGCTTAGATTCAGCAGAACAAGAGACGTTTGGTGCCATGGTCAAGGTGTACTAGTTGCAATTCCAGTCGATATCTGGCTCATTTACCTCATCTTTTCGTTAAGGTTGTGAATGTTCCACAAGAATAAACAGGGCCACTTGGCAAGCAATGCAACGTCGACACCTGTGCAGCAAACATAAAGACAGTAAGCGACACAGATGAAGAAAACGACTACAGGGTAGATTTTTAAAAAAAGCTATCGTAGATCTGGTAAGTGGCATTCCCGGGTATTCGTGCTAAGTGTTATGATTACAGAGTGCATATTTTTAAGAATATGTGAGAATTATCGAAAGAACTCGGAGTTGATGGGCCTCGAGTAGCAATCATGGGAATGCATGCAAAAACATGTCATCAACATCAGCATCAATACAAATTAGATGGGCGTGAGAAACATATCTCAGCTATTGTGTCACAATACAAAAAGACATGATACTAAACGTCATAAAATATAAAACTGAAAAAACAAGTAATGCAATGTTAAGTAGCGTATTTAGTACGGAGCGTAAGATCGTGACTGAAGAAGGAAGATAAACGGAAATGGAAGGCACAAAGAAGCTCACATCACAAACGTCGTTGGGACCGGCTCTTCGCCATATGAGCAAGTGTACCCAACCAAACCTGTTCATCGTTTTTCAGACTCCATCCTGGTAATCGGGTGGCATCAATAGACGCCAACTTTGAAGTGATGGCTTTTATTCCTAGCGACTAAGTCATCACTTGGCGCCTCTTACCCATCCATCCAGACCCCGTGCGCGCAAACAGCGCATGACGTGGCCCAGCCATCGGAGCCTGGTGCGTGAAATAACGTTGCTAAGCGGTTCATTTCCTCTTACTGTGCCATAAACAAGGCGTCGAAGACGCTCGTAGCTCACGCAGTGTTCCCACCAGATATGAGCCAAACTGCGAAAACACCGGTGGTCGGACGTAACTAGCCACTTTATGTCGGATGATCTAATGGGCCAGGTTTCACATGCGTAAAGGAGAGTTGAACGTATGGCTGCACTGTACACTGTACCTTCCACGGAGAGTGACATCGCGCTGGCGCCAAAGGTAACAAGGGTTAGCAAAAACTTCTCGGGCTTTTGCTATACGGTTCGTGATGTCGTCTTCGAACCCAAAGGCCCTGATACAACTTCCCAGGTAGTTGAATTTTTGAACGACTGCCAGATGATCCCCGCCAAGAGTCAACACAGGAGGCGGTTCCTGCCAATCTTGAGAGAAAGCTTTGCACTTCGAGGGTGCAAAGCATATCCCGAATTCCAATGGAAAGGAATGGTGATGTAAGCTGCATGATGTTCAGGTGCAGAAGTTGCCAGTGTGAAACCTGGCGCATTAGCCTACCACACACGCCATGTCGGAATTGCTGACTAACCGCTGAGCTGAAAAGTCACGTGGATTGCTCGCCGTAGAGCCACCTTCATTAGACCGATCGGATTCTCAATGCCATTTCGTTACGTCATTGACTGGATAGCCCGAGGATTGTCAAAATCAACGCATTCCGAGGTTTACAGATGACAAGCATTTAAAAAACGCAGCACAACCAACATACACAATTCCCCTTCAGTGGACCGATCAGCGCTGCTGTAGCAGAGTATTTGTCTCCAACTATCAAGATGCCGATTTCAGCATTTTCTACGCGTTATTCTCATTATGAACGAACAACGCTTAGTGGGCAGTGATATCCAAAATGCAACTATTATCTTCATGATTTGAACGCGCATGTAATAACGCCGATGTGCCCAGTGATATTGCGCAATCTGCCTTTGGACTGCAGTAGTAAGCATAACAGTTGGGAGCTGTCACAGATTAGGAAAAAGTCGTTAGCATACCCAAAGTCAATAAGTTGATCAACGGGGAGAAGCTCCGCACCTCACAGTGAACGCATTTCCCATGACTTCTTTGATGGAGAAACCAAAGAAAGGTGGTAGTAACCAGCCTTTTCTCACATCGCTGGACAGTTTGTCATAAACACTCACTGCCTGAAATATGCCTGTACAACGCTCTGATGATATCTACAAATTTACCGGACACAGCTTTCCTGAGCAGAGCGTTCCAAAGTGCAAGTCGATCCATCGAATCAAAGGCACCTGTGAAATTGAAAAACACGACTAAGATGGGTAGCCAATAAATATAAGCGTGTTCCAATAACTGACGTAAAGTTATGGTGTTATTCATACAGCCAAGATTTCGACGAAACCCGGCAAGCTCCACGCGAATTTGGTTTTCACGCGTGTCAGCCAGTATGTGGATAACTAAGGAGGCAAACAAATTCGAGGTAATTGAGATCATACTGACCGCATTATGAACGTGAATATGCCTTGAAAATCGCGATCATGATGCAGCATTTCCGGTCTGTTGAGAAAGTCTCAGGCTCCACAGCTGTACTAGTAAACTGTGCACATAATTAATAACGGTAAGTCCCCAAAATCTGAAGAGGGCTGCTCCTGTGGCCTTAACTAATTGCAACAATTTGAGCTCACGTTCGGCATCTGCGAGTGAGGGCTTGCCCAAGAGGACGGCGCACTGAGAAAGGAGATCAATAACCGATAAGAAAGAATGTCGTACGGAGGCTAAGAATACTGCGAGGGTCGCCCGGTCCCCTACGCAGATTCGAACTCAGGATTAAAAGGCAGGCCCGTGATTCTTCAGGCCACGGGCCGGAAGATGGTAACTCTCACTGAATAAAGTGCCCAACGTTCCAAGTGTTTTGTAAATTCGTTAATTGGCTGTTCACTCTTGTCGCCTATGGTCTCGTTAACATCAAGTCTTCTGCTGCCCGTTTCCCATACCAGATGGAACAAGTTATATAGTTACCGAGTATAGCAGCCATTTCCCTCTCCGATGTATGAAGAGACGACCATGCTTCGCAGTCCTTCCTTAGGATAATAGACAGTTTCGCCAAGATGTTTACGAGTCTCTGTGTGTTCTCCTCCAGCCGGAACGAGTCGACGAGCGTCCAATATTTTCAGAGACTGCAAATACCGAATGTCCAGGTCAGCAATTTGAATTGCCACATAAAGACATGCCTGTTGCTAATAACGCCTGGGGGATATACGACCAGTGGTTTGCAACCCTGTTCAACCAGCGACTACTCAATCCGCATGCCGGTGAACTTTGATAAGCATTTAGAACATCTTGATTCGCCAGTTGGCAATTATGTATTCGCTCGCACAGTCGTTGCCACCGTAGGTCAGCACATACGAGAGGGTAGTCAGAGTCCACGCTCATACTCCAAATCGAGCGATAGTTTTGTACACAGCCTCTCCAGCAATAAATGATCGCAATGTGATCGATCTGCGTCATGACTGGTAGGCGCCATGTCACACTTGTACGGGTCCTGTGTGCGAAGTTTATGCTCGCGAGAAATAGACGCGCATCTTTACACAGGTGAACTAACCGCACACCATTACTATTACGGGAGCCTATACCCTGTCGGCAACCCAGATGCAGCTTATCTGCGGGCAGTTTTTCAACTTGGAAGTTCTGATCACCAACAAGCACCACAGTATCTGTACGTTATCTGTGACGAAAGAGCTCGTTAAGTTGATGATAAAAGGTATTTTTCCCCGAGTCAGCGCTACAGCTTGTGGGCGCGTATGCAGCAGTGAAAAACGGACACTGCTTGTTCCCGCGTGATTTCGAAGCATTGAACGATGCTGCCAATCTGACGGCACATATGTAGCTGTTCATAGGCAGCCTGATATTCCTGTTTAGACTTGGATAGTTCACTAAGATTACTAACAGTTGTGTACGTTGAGCGATCAAGCACCGTATGAGGTCACCGACTTTCTTATGTGATAGGTCAGGTAGAATGTAAGTCGATTACCCTCGTATACCGTCGCCGTGTGCTTATGGCCAGCAATCGTAGCAAGAACGCTATATCTATATATATATATATATATATATATATATATATATATATATATATATATATATATATATATGAACTAACGGTTTACACAGATTTGAAAACTGGCGCAGTCCACTGAAATGAATTGGAATACGGTGGGAGGGGAATCTCGTTAAACAGTGGACACGATACTAAAGCAATAGGAGCATTGAAAAAGTTGCTTGGTGACACTATGCGACCCCGCAAAACATGGTTAAGGGAAGCGAACCGACACGAGTAAATGAAAAGTCAGGTGAAGCAAAATATGTAAGAATGGGAGTTACGGAACTTATGGAGTTCGAGTTTCAAGGTACAATTAAAGATCGGGTAGACAGAAGTATGCCATAGAATGACATGCTAGTCGACAAACTCCGAAGCACGCATCCCTGGGTGAGAGAAGGAAAATAGAATGAGGCGAAAATGTTATATAGAGCTCTATCATACTAGAGAGAGGAGCTTAAATTATACATTTTCATCCTAGCTTAAACAAGAAAACGGTCATACATAGCCAGAAATGACAGTCGTAGTCTCGTGCGTCGGACCCGAATAGTAGATTTTGATTCGTTTCTGGCTCAGTTTATTCAAAAGATTAATGATGTGGGTATCATCAAGGCGGAATGATAATTCGATTTCATAGTTTAGGAAAGATTATTTGAACCATCATATGAAAATAGAATAGGCTACAGTGCCACTGCAGACCGCCGCCTGATCAACTGAATGTGTGCACTCGTCGTTCACACTGACTCGTGGCAATAATGTGCACATGTGTGGCAACGAACACGCTCTGAGTGGGGAACAGGGAAAATCATACCGGTATGCGAAGTTAGTTAGTAGTAAAACATGCCGTAGACTGTCATTTTAAGTGTGATGCAATCTTTCGGTACTAGGCAGGTATAAGTTGAACGCGAGTACCGTTAGTGGGCAGCGGTGAGGAACAAAAAGCCGATGTTCACTAAGACAAGTAGTCGTTAAATGGGGTCTCAGTAGATGTTTATTGAGGACACTGCCCGCTACACATTACCCGATAATAATACAAATGAAGGTAACACAGTAGACTTGAATCATCCGGGATCCAAACAGAAAGATACAAGAGGACAAATGTCATCATCAGTGCGAAAGAAGGCGACTAATGCTGAGTGGAGTGGATGGCTAATAAAAGCTGACAGACAGGAAGAACAATGACCACTGGAAATGGAAAGCAAAAGTAAATCGTGACAGAGGCATACGGTGGGAGAATTACCGTGGAGAAGAGTGAAAGTTATAAGACGTGACAGCACAGAGTTGACGTACAACTTTTCTGTATAATCGCAGGCTGAGTAGCAGCACAGAATCTCCCCCGGTAGGCTCATGATATTCACGAGTTAAGTAGTGTGCATTTCCAAAGATCGGCGAAGAATGAAAAACAGCAACAAGTGCTAAGGGGGGACAACGATAACTCCCGAAATTGCTCCGTCTTTCGTTGTAGCACTGGTAGTTAATTCATGGTCCTTCTGCATGGAACGAGAGACTGGGAATGATGCAGCAATTGTTTAATGAAATCGGTGAGTAGAATCATGAAGGGCAGTTTGGGTTGAGAGCAAATAGAACAGATTAGCACCGTCGTTTTTCTGATTCATGAATGACTCATGTTTAAACTTGGAATCATCATGTTGATTATGTTGATGAAAAGATAGCAATGTTCGTGGTGAATCGTATGCAACATATTGGGTACAAGTGAGAACGAAAAGGTTGCTCTTCAAAGCGAGGGGACATGACAAATTGAAGAATCACAATGAGAAGAAAAAAACTTTCGGAAAACACTCCGAAGAAACACAAACACTTAAATCATAAAAATGCAGTAGAAAATGGTGCGAAGTGTACACACACACACACAGAGACAGCAACCAAGGGAGAAAAGGAGTTATCTCGATGGGAACGAATAATTTGCAAGGGAATGAGTCTATTGACAAGACCAAATTTACAAATAAAAGTTAGAGCGAAGAGTTCGCAAACGACGGTTGCACACACTACCGAATAACTGCAATGTATTATAAATACAACAAGAGATAAAAAACGAGTGTATAGCAAATAGGTGCTGAGCCGGTCCATTTAATTAAGAATCCTGGTTGTCAGTTTCGTCGTCCTGAATGATACGGTAGTAGCCTTCGGTAGATATGGCGTCCAAGTCTCCTAAGTCCATACTTTCCAAGTAAAGGAGCTTCTCAGCCTCTGATTTAAAAAAATAAACAGATTGAATGTTAAATATTGTCGATAGTTGCTGTCCAGCGCGAAGCAGCTGTGGTAGAAGCCAAGTTTAAGCGTAAATAACATGGGCAAAGGGATCAGTATCTGTCTATAAATGAGCATACTAATCCGAAACTGTTTGCTGAAACTTGTCCTTGCAGTAATTATAACAATAACAAAACGAAAAACAGTTCCAGTAAGCAAAAATTGCACCTACTGTGTCCCATATGTATTCGAGCGGAACAAAGTACGCTTCAAGTACAAGACCAACGCTAGAAGTAAACAATGGAGAGGACGTGAGGATCCGAGCTCCTAAGCAAGTAGAGCTCAACAAAGAGACAGGTCTTCCAGTATGGCCATCACACAAGACGTGCAGTACCAGGAAGTAGTAGCAGTAAACCGTAGATTCAGTTCGGTAAAAAAAGAGCGGATGGGTTCATGTGTGACACGAAAATGATCTCCGTAGTCCATCGCCGTGAAATTACTTCACGCAACAACCCACTAACAAGTGGAAGTCGATAATAGCTGTCCTTTCCGCACACAACAACTAGATTTGCGAGAAATGGCAGACCATTTTGTTCTGGTTGACGCGCAGTGTTCATTGAATTGCACTATTCGTGAAAGACGGGGGAAAAGCGAACGCAAATGCGAACACCAAGTGAGGTGCCCATTTCGATGTCACTACAAACTGTTAATGATCCGCATGCCATTCGTGGCCCCTAATAACCAACGTACAAATGGTCGCTGGCTGAGCACCCAGATTGGGGAGAATCAAAAGTCACCCATCGACATACACAAGATGTTGAATACTAACTGCATTGGAGCAACAACAGACGGATTGAGAAGACGCAAGTTTGCTGCTCCATTTACGAACGCGAAATGCGTCGAAAAGTCACAGCGAAGTGTAAGAAAGTCACTCATGATCATTTAGATCACAAAAGTGCAGGGTCAAGGAGAGACTCGAAGCGTAATTGAACTGTAGTAGTGCACTCAGGGCTGTTATACAGAAACGGTGGTCATCGTATTTGGATTGTACGACTGGAGTGGAATTTCTCACGCATGCCCTACAAAGATGGGCACCGCCAAAGACGAATGCGAGACAGGTTGGTGATGCACGAGCGGCCCTTTATGAAGACGTGCTGTGCCGGTGTTAAGAGATGTTCCGACTCCAGCAGCTGGAGAAGACCTTGTTCACAATGTTCTCGAGCACCTTCGCCAAAACAGTGGTGAGACAAATCGGCCAGTAATTATCCACATTGCGCGGATCACCGTTTTTTGGAATTGGCTTCACTACTGAGCATTTCCAGTCGCTCGGTAATGCACCCTCGGATAGCGATCTGTTGAACAGATCCGTCAAGGCAGGCAAGATGAGGGCTATAAAAGGACTATAAAATTAGCGAATGAAGTCCATGAAGTACGTCAGGTTTGGTGCCGTCAAGACTGGCAAGTAAACTGCGGACATGTTCTACACCGCAATCCAGGCCAACAAGTTCTGTAGAAGCTCCGCACGTCCAGCTCGGCATAGGCGCGTGCCCGCTTGTAAATACGAAAGCGAAGGGCTCCAACCAAGGCGAACGCACGTTCAGTGCTGGAGGTCAGAGGCTGTCCGTCAGTGTCCTCTAACACAGCTACGTCACTCACTGGCCTCAGTCGTCGCTTCGCACAAACAAAAATCTTCTCGAGGGCCGTCTTCGTTGAGGTTGCAAGTTCCTCTTGGAACTGCCGACGCTTTCGCGCTGTTACATAGATCTCGCTGCCTTTGGCACGCCTCATAATCGTCGGCAGAGCCAGAGGGATTTATTCCACAATACGCGTCACCGTCAAGCCAAATGGCCATACTTTTTGTCGAACTAATGTGGCTTCACTGGTCCAGATTTCAGATACTTGAGGGGTACGAAACCAGCGCACAACAATTGCGCCGCCACTTTTATAACAGACCAACAGGATTCAACAGGTGAATCCTGCGGTACCAAGCAGTCCACTTCACTAGAGACTCGATTGAGACCATGGGAGTTGGTATTCCAGTAATTGTAGGACGGCTCTGGCGGACGCGAGTAGGGCAGCGGCAGCTCTGGGCTGGCTAAGACCAGTAGCTGCCAAAGGCTCCAGTACGTTGTTTGCAACTAGTTAATACAGTCGAACTCACTTTATTGCCCACCCGGTTTATAGCACATCCCGCATGATTGCCCAGTTTTTAAAAATACGAATTCTTTTCTCATAAATATGCTAAATTTTCACCACCTAAGTGCCCAGTGCAGGGGTCGTTCCACAGCTTAATTGTCCAGGTACGTGGGCTGTGCTCTTATCGTTTTGTCAATTTTACGCTCTTGGTCCGACTAGTTTCTAATAATATTACCCCACAGCTAGCCAGTCCGATCGAGTTAAGAACAAAGATGTCGGCGACGTTATTGACAGATGAATTACCTCTGAGATCAGAAAAATCCAACCAGGTCAATCAATACACGAGCAAGCTAAATGAACAGACGGCTGTGGGCAAGCCCTCGACCCTATTCAAAACTTGAGAACTGACCAAAGTCGGGCAATCTTTCCACCCCGAAGTTGTCAGTACTCTTTGTTTACACACAAGTATGGAAGGAAGTTTCGGACAAAATTAAAACTTATCCACCAGGAACCTCGCAGGTCAAGATATCGCGTGATTTACACATATCTCGTCGTAGCCTAGCCAGGTTGATTGCCAGTGAAAAGGAACTCCGGCAGAAATTGCAAGCTCTCAGAAAAGGAAACAATGTGGAAAGGATGAATAAGTGGAAACTGCATTGAAAGACTGGATGATATCGGTTGGTGAGCATAACCAAACAGTTACAGGGCCGACTCTTAAGAAAAAGGCAGAAGAATTCGGGAAAAGACTTGGAAAAACCATTGCTGAATTAGAAGGATGGTTGCAAAGATGGAAGAGTGGAAATGAAATTGTACATAAACGTACGTATGGCGAAAAGAGTTCCGCGGACAGAGTAGTCTGTGAAAACTGGCTGAAAGATAGACAGTTTGAATTTTTGAATGCATTTGATGGTGACAACGTGAACAGTGAAGACGAAACAGGTCACTTTTACCGAGCAACTACAGAGAGCTATTGTGTTTTCCTGCCAACAAGCTCAGCGGATCGATAAAAGTCATGGATAGGATCACTTTCCTATGCTGCGTGAATACGTCAGGCGCGAATAAAAGAAAATTGGTTTTGAATGGAAAAAGTGAGAAATCAAAATAGTTTAATAGTGTTAACGTGGACACACTTCCCGTAAGTAACAGAGCTAACAAAAATGCGTGGATGACGAAAGAACTTTTCACCAAGTGGGTCCTCGAATGCGACAAGGAGCTAGGCCAAAGTTGCCGAAAAATTGTCCTTGGATAAGTACACAGCGCATCCACAGATAGAAGGCCTAATAAACGTTCACACGGAAATTTTACTGGCAAACACGACCAGTATTCCTCAACCCATGGACCAAAGTTAGATTACGAATCTGAAAATCGGTCACAAAAAGGAAATTGTGGACCAAATCATTCATCAAATCGAAAGCAACGTGTCATCTGGCTCATCGTCGGCGGTGGATGTCAAGGCCAAGATTTCTGTGCGCAATGCCATTCAGTCCGTTTCAAAAAGTTGGAGATAGTTTACCGGTGAAACAATGAAAGCTTGCTTTCGGCATGCTAGTTTCAGTCCACTGGCATCCGATGCACTTTCCGAAGACGCCGTCATTGCTGAAGAGGAGATCAGCACTTGCACAACCCTAGTCATCAACGTACAAGACTACGTCGCCATTGACCACGATGTGAAATGTACTTCAGATCTGAGAACTGTTGATGAAATCGTCAGTAAAATTTTAGAGAACCGACTAGAACAGAAAGGCAGTGACTCAGAGGATGACGTGCTGGATGCCTCCGTGAGTAATAGCAATCAGTGCGTGTCGCATTCAAGAAAAAAGAACTGTGTGAATGATCTGTATAGCTACGGCCTTTTGCATCGGTTAGGCAAAGGTTTCTTGTCCAAATTGGACTTCATGATTACAAGTGACTGGAGTAGCAGCTCCAAATAATGTACAACTGACGTTGGATGGTTTTCTCAGCAAAAATATACGGTGGCACCAGTTTGTATAGCTATCGAGGTAAGCTGGTTCGAGTGTAGTAAGTTCAAACACAATGGAGCGGAATGCAGTGTAACGCGCGTCGGTTGGCAGACATGTTGTGCTGCCCTAGTCTCAGATATCATCTCAGCAAACTGCGCCTCGATTTCACAATGCCCGAGGAGAAGTTGTACCTCAGGACACAATATTCGATGGAAGTTAAAAACGCCTATAAGCAGGAAGCGGGGCCGGCTCATGTAGCTTCTGACATGCGGTAACCAATCTAGGCATCGACTTCACGAGCTGCGATAAACTGCATCCACAAACAGTTCATCCTGCCTCAGACGGATCGGGCACCGTAGGTGTTCACACAGGCAATCTTCGCTTCGGTATATGTTTACCAGTCTCCCGTAAAACGAAGATAGAATGTGTAACAGCACGCCACCGCGTTCGTTTGATAGTCTATTGCACGGGAAGCACGAGTAGCCACTGAGCTGGAATTCCTGGGTACAGTCCTCAGGATGTAATCAGGTTTAGGCAGATCCTAGTACGTCCGGACGACGATAGGTACTGAAGTGATTAAGCTCGTCACGTCTGTTCATTAAACTACAAACATTTGTGGAGGCTACGCGCAGGCCGCCTGGCGCGCATGGGGTGTCATCGACCTGCTGATCCGGGTTCGGCGGACCCGAAATATTCAAAAAGTTCCGGTGCGGAGATTACTTTCCCTGCCATCGGTACGCCGCTTCAACTCAATACCAGGGGATTTCAGTTTCTCAATGTCCGACGATCCATATCTGGACGAATATGGATCTTCGGCCCTTTTAGCATATCGAGGCGAGATAGTACCAGCCTCGGACAAGCGTCGTCGTCGAGACTGAGTTTTCCCCTCCACACTTTTTCCAA